GGGGACATACATATAAGGACACACTAGGGGGACATACATAGAAGGACACACTAGGGGGGGACATACATATAAGGACACACTAGGGGGGACATACATAGAAGGACACACTAGGGGGGGACATACATATAAGGACACACTAGGGGGGACATACATATAAGGACACACTAGGGGGACATACATATAAGGACACACTAGGGGGACATACATATAAGGACACACTAGGGGGACATACATATAGGGACACACTAGGGGGGACATACATATAAGGATACACTAGGGGGGACATACATATAAGGATACACTAGGGGGGACATACATATAAGGACACACTAGGGGGACATACATATAAGGACACACTAGGGGGGGACATACATATAAGGACACACTAGGGGGGACATACATATAAGGACACACTAGGGGGACATACATATAAGGACACACTATGGGGGGACATACATATAAGGACACACTAGGGGGGGCCATACATATAAGGACACACTAGGGGGGACATACATATAAGGACACACTAGGGGGACATACATATAAGGACACACTAGGGGGGGACATACATATAAGGACACACTAGGGGGGGACATACATATAAGGACACACTAGGGGGGACATACATATAAGGACACACTATGGGGGGACATACATATAAGGACACACTAGGGGGGACATACATATAAGGACACACTAGGGGGGACATACATATAAGGACACACTAGGGGGGACATACATATAAGGACACACTAGGGGGGGATATACATATAAGGACACACTAGGGGGGATATACATATATGGACACACTAGGGGGGACATACATATAAGGACACACTAGGGGGGGATATACATATATGGACACACTAGGGGGGACATACATATAAGGACACACTAGGGGGGATATACATATAAGGACACACTAGGGGGATATACATATAAGGACACACTAGGGGGGAACATACATATAAGGACAAACTAGGGGGGGACATACATATAAGGACACACTAGGGGGAACATACATATAAGGACACACTATGGGGGGGGGATAAACTAGGACAACACTAGGAAGACACTCTACGGACACCGTAGGGAAACACTCTAAGGGTAAACATCAAGCGGACATGTTATGGGGAACCCACTTGGAGATCCTACTAGAGGAACCCCCTTACTTTCCCCACTAGGGGAACCCCTAGCGTTAGTATAAAATTCGTGTTAAGCTTCATTATACGTATTTGAAAAAGAAAATCTTAAAAAACTGATTCTATTCTCACAAACTTATTATATACTCAAGGCAAAAATTGGTTGACTACAACACTATGTTGTATGTGTTGTCACACGCTGGTAACCCCTGAGGTTCTGGGAGTGTTGGGGTGGTTGTTGACCACCTCACACGGACGGTGGACCTGGCATAACGCTCCAGGGAAGGCTTACACCTTCCCTACGTCCCTGACCTTTCCAGTATGGATGAAGAGGCCCGTGCAGTGCATGGAAGATCGGAAGGGACCCAGATTGTACTGTGTCTTTAATTTTTTTCATGTCGTTTCTGCTACTGAAGCTGGAACTTTGTCCCATTCCGGCCGCCACCTAGATGTAGCTTGAGGGTTGTCTAGCTTAAAGGCACTCAAGAGGGTGCCTTTAAGTGCCTTTCCCTCACTCCAGAGGGAAAATCTGGAAAAATTATGTTGCTTTACCAATGAATCAACATTGAGAACGTCATTTGTAATGTTGATTAAAATGTTACTGGGGCTTGGGTTACTGTTACCGCCTGACAGCTGGGTGGACAGCGCTTCGGATTCGTAGTCCTGAGGTTCCGGGTTCGATCCCCGGTGGAGGTGGAGACAAATGGGCAAAATGCTTCTTTCACCCTGATGCGCCTGTTACCTAGTAAATAGGTACCTGGGTGTTAGTCAGCTGTCACGGGCTGCTTCCTGGGGGTGGAGGCCTGGTCGACGACCGGGCCGCGAGGACACTTAGCCCCGAAATCATCTCAAGATAACCTCAAGATGGTGTGCCCGCTGGGATAACTGTACTTACCCCCAGTGGGCAAAATATGCTCAAGTGACGTTTAAACAACGTAGGATGAGGGACGTCAGCGATGATTTCTGGGTACATCGTTGTCGTTGTGCTCAGTTTTACCCCCAGGGAGTACTCCATGCACTTCCATTTGCAGGTCTGACTTGAAGAAGAATTGTGTATGAAATTGCACCGACAATGTTGATACAGGTTTTGTTAATGAATCATTTAAATGTTTAGAACAAGTCGGTGGTATTCTTTCATGCACGATATATGCCACGATTGTATACATTCCATGTTATATGGCTTGATTGTAAATGAGTACATGTGCATTGGTGAATGTCTAGATAACCCGGGTGTTATCTAAGGAGGAACTTTAAACTGGTTCTACAAATACACTTCCGACAGTGACACAAAATTCTACTAACCAGCATTAATCATTTTGCTTAATGCCCAAACATTATTCTGGGAAAAGAACAAAACTGAAGTGAGATCTTTTGTGTTCACATTATATAGCAGAGTGTATGATGAGGTATATATATATATATATATATATATATATATATATATATATATATATATATATATATATATATATATATACATTAGCCAGTATGAGGGAGGAACATGGGTATACAACATACACGAACCAATATGTCGGGGGCACTTAAAAAAAAATTACTGTTCGTCCCTTGCGTTTCAAGAGGACAGGTATAGTTTACGAATTCGTCCTAATGCCACCGCCCACATATATAAAATCCTTCGTTCGATCCACTGCCTCTAAATCTCCCTAAACGACCGCTCCAAAGTCGACCTAAAAGTTTTAATGGCACATCTGATTAGGCCAATTATTCAGTTTTTTCTTGTACCTTCTCCCCAAAAATGCTTGAATTTTTCGACTTGTTTCTTGAGCGAGTTTTTTTTTCTCAGTAGACCGGCTATTTTTGTCTCATCAGGGTGTTGAAATATTTTTTGATGGATAGAAAAGCGATAAAATGGAATAGGAGTTAAGATGAGAAAAAATTGATAAAAGTCGAGGGAGGTATAAAGGGGAATAAGTAGAAAACAGTTGGAAGAGAAGTGTAGATGGAGAGAACGTAAGTAGTTAGATCTAACAAAAGACATGTAGGAGAAAAGAGGACATAAGGAAGAGAGAAAAAGAATAAATCATGGGAAGGAAAAATGTACTTAGGCAGCGAGTGAGAAGAGAGAGTGCAGAGAGAGAGAGAGCGACAAAGAGAATAAAATCTTCAAAGAACAAAAAAAAATGGTAACAGACTCAGAACGTAAACATGACAATGCAATTTCAGGTTAAAACAAATGAAAGAATAAAAAATGCAGTTAAGGTAAATGTTATGAGAATAATTGAGTGTAAACGGAGGCTAGAACACGCTCGCGCACTCGCGCGCACACACACACACACACACACACACACACACACACACACACACACACACACACACACACACACACACACACACACACATACACACACACTGGACTACCAAACGGCCTTTGATACAGTACCGCACATGAGACTGCTATTCAAACTTAAGAGGCAGGCAGGAGTAAGCGGAAAGGCCTTAACATGGGTAAGGAACTACCTAATAGGAAGGAGCCAGAGAGTAACGGTATGGGGCGAGAAGTGGGACTGGCGAACAGTAACGAGTGGAGTACCTCAAGGATCGGTGCAGGGACCAATTCTGTTTCTAATATACGTTAATGACATGTTTACAGTAGTAGAATCCTACATGTCGATGTTCGCGGATGACGCAAAATTAATGAGAAGAGTTGTGACAGACGAGGATTGTAGGATCCTCCAAGAGGACTTGAACAGGTTGCAGAGATGGTTAGAGAAATGGCTACTGGAGTTCAACACGAGCAAATGATTATGGAGATTATGTTATAGATTAATGTTATGTTATATTAATTTTTATGTTAAAGGAGATTATGTTATAGATTATGTTAAAGATTATAGATTAGGTTATGGAGATGGGATTAGGTGATAGGAGACCAAAGGGACAGTACACAATGAAGGGGGAACTGCCTACCTGTGACGACTCGAGAAAGGGACCTGGGCGAAAGGGACGTAACTCCTAATTTATCTCCTCAGGCACATATTAATAGGATAACGACAGCAGCATACTCAACACTGGCAAAAGTTAGAACATCATTCAGAAACCTGAGTGAGAAGGCTTTACACTGCCCACGTGAGGCCAGTCTTAGAGTATGCCGGCCCATCATGGAGTCCTCACCTGAAGAAACACATAAAGAAACTGAAAAAGGTTCAAAAGCTTGCGACGAAGCTCGTCCCAGAGTTACGAGGGATGGGATATGAAGAGCGTCTGAAAGAACTGAACCTGAGGACACTAGAAAAAAAGAGAAAGGGGAAATATGATAGGAACGTATAAAATACTCAGGGGGAATTGACAGAGTGGACATAGACGAAATGTTTACACGGAATAGTAACAGAACGAGGGGACATGGGTGTTAGCTGGAAACTCAGATGAGTCCCAGAGATGTCAGGAAATTTTCTTTTAGTGTGAGAGTATTGGAAAAATTGAATGTACTTAAGGAGCAGGTTGTAGAAGCTTATGTTATACGAGGGCCATATTTTACTGAGTGAAGTATTCATAAGGCCGCCTAGTTTACTGTAGTATAGGAATGTGCCTGAAAATATCCTTTGATATTTCAAAGGCTTACTGTCTTCGGTCCAACACAACTTTTGCTTTAAAATTCACTGTTTTGTAGCAAAAAGAAAAGAGAATGATTAATATTTTCTGAGCTGAAGAGTACATTTTGTTTTTTATATGTTTTTTTAAATCTATATGGCATTATGTCTGCTTGTTTGTTTGTATGTTTGTTTGTGTTTGTCCAAGTTTCAAGGTTAAAAGGCCAGACGCTTAAGATTTGTCTCACCCAACTTTGCAGGGTGAATTGTCTTGGGTACGTGAAGGACATAGGCTGATCAAGGTCGATAAAATTCAAGAGGGAGCAGCATGCCATGGTGACATAATGACCCTCATGACGGTCTTTGGCACTACCTGCTGGCTATGACTGGCAAAATATTCTGAAAGCAAAAATTTCATACAATGTTTGATATAGAAATATACAAAATTCTTCCCTGATGTCGGGAAAATTAAGATAAGTTTTCAGCTATTCATAATTTGGCCATAGCACCATAAAACACGTAACTATTTTTATATTTGTTTATTGCATATTTTTCTAATATTATTGTTTAGTATTTCACATGACTAGGCTTCTCCCTAAGGGTGACCAAATGCCCATCAATGGGAAACGTTTCTATTTGTTTGAATGAGAATAGAATGAGAAGGAGAGACACACAGAAACAAGCCTGCAGAGAGACCGGATAAGAGAGTGAGGCAGGAAGACCGACAGAGAAACACAGAGACAGATAACAACACTCAGAGAGTGAAGTAGGGGCAGACACAGAGAAAGAGACAGAGACAAAGATAGGGAGAGAAGGAAGGAGAAGGGGGAGGGGTGTTTGAGGAGAGGGAAGTAGAGAAGGGAGAGAACGTGAGACCGATGGAGAGAGGAGGAGGAGAAAGGGAGAGGGAAAGATTGTGAGGGAGGATGACAGAGGATAAGAGATTGGGAGAGATGGAGAAGATGGGAATAGGGAAAGAGAGATGAGAGAGGAGGAGGAGTGAAGATGGTTGGGGAAGTGACCCGAGGGCAGCCAAGTAACCCCCCGCCCATCCCCTTTAGTTAAAAATAGTGAACATTAAAATAATAAACAAGGAAAAAATATACAAGAAAAACTGATTTTTAAACAAAATTTGGATTTCTTTATGAAGTTCGCATACGACCTTTATGCTACGGATTCCTTACCCCTGATCCACACTTTCAACTCGTTATTATTAAACCACTGGCGGTCCATGAACCACTGGTGGTCCATGAGCCACTGGTGGTCCATGAGCCACTGGTGGTCCATGAGCCACTGGTGATCTATGAGCCACTGGTGATTCATGAGCCACTGGTGGTCCATGAGCCACTGGTGGTCCATGAGCCACTGGTGGTCCATGAGCCACTGGTGGTCCATGAGCCACTGGTGATCTATGAGCCACTGGTGATTCATGAGCCACTGGTGGTCCATGAGCCACTGGTGGTCCATGAGCCACTGGTGGTCCATGAGCCACTGGTGGTCCATGAGCCACTGGTGGTCCATGAGCCACTGGTGGTCCATGAGCCACTGGGGATCCATGAGCCACTGGTGGTCCATGAGCCACTGGTTGTCCATGAGCCACTGGTGATTCATGAGCCACTGGTGGTCCATGAGCCACTGGTGGGCCATGAGCCACTGGTGGTCCATGAGCCACTGGTGGGCCACGATATTTTTGTTATGTTCTGATGGTCCAAGGATTGAAATTCAAAAACGCAGCTGTGTTACCTGCCTCTTTGCCTGTACGCAAGTAGCCCGTCTACCTTTATGCAAATGAACCTCTCGTCTCTACTAATTAATTAGTTTTCACCTGTTGGCAAATTAAGATAATGTAGGTGTGTTAACTCACTCTGTGCTAGAATGCGTGTAATGTTTGGGTGTATATGTACTCGTATAATTGTGCTTGCGGGAGTTGAGCTTTGGCTCTTTGGTCCCGCCTCTCAACCGTCAATCAATTGGTGTACAGATTCCTGAGCCTACTGGGCTCTATCATATCTACATTTGAAACTGTGTATGGAGTCAGCCTCCACCACATCACTTCCTAGTGCATTCCGCCTGTTAACTACTCTGACACTGAAAAAGTTCTTTCTGACGTCTCTGTGGCTCATTTGGGAACTCAGTCTCCACCTGTATCCCCTTGTTCGCGTACCACCCGTGTTAAACAGTTTATCCAGTTGATGTGTGTGTGTGTGTGTGTGTGTACTCACCTACTTGTGCTTGCGGGGGTTGAGCTTTGGCTCTTTGGTCCCGCCTCTGGCTCTTAGGTCCCGCCTCTCCATGAGGTGTGTGTGTGTGTGTGTGTGTGTGAGCAGGTGTGGTGGAGTTAATTAGCTTGTATGCCGTGTTAAGATAAGGCTTTACGCTCTGTTAGTCGCCCGCACCTGTATGCAAGTGTTCCCTAACGTTTTATATGCTAATTAGTCTTTAACTTGTATGCAAATGCAGCTTATAACTAAATATTAATTACTAATATGTACGTATGCAAATAAGCTTAATCTTGTCTATTGATTACCTGCCTCTCTGAATGCAAATCAGTCCAAAGCATATATGTAAATTACCTATTGCATTCAAATATGTACACCCTTGCATGCAAATGAAGTAAATATCTAAATGGCAATTTGAAGTACACTTGCATGCTAATTATCCAGCACCTGTATGCCAATTAACCCTATAGCAATTTACATATCAATCATTCACCTGTAAGTTTTTTTTTAATTTGGATTATTTTCTGTGATATTTCACGAGGCTTCCCATTCTTCAGCATGCCCAGTAACCTATTATAGTTGTGAATGAAAAGTATTGCCTAAACTTCGTTCATAGCTCACTGCTGAATTTACGACTGGGCAATCAATCAAAAGTTTACTGAAACAAAGTTAGTGTTTAAGTCAGTATTGGTAAGGAACAACGGTGGGAGGGGAGTAGAGGCAAGAGCGAGGGAGAGACAAAAATAAATCTCGCAAAATATTCATTAAACTATGTGAAAAGTTCAGTAGAAAGTATTAAGCTAATAACACTAGATGGCATTATGAAGTGGTTTGTGGACCAGGAGCTGAGATATGATGACGGGAGAAAAGAATTGTTCCCAACCCTTGGACCATCGGGGATCGAACGCCAACCCATTAAGATACAACACGGCTGTAAAGAACAAAACAGATAGATTGATAAACTATGTAAGGGAAACGCTTGAAAACATAAGTAACGAAATCGTTCACTTAATAAATTTAGTTCACCCGACTGACCCCATAAGCTCCTGAAGACTTTCAATACCAGCACGAATTAATAACATAGAATGAAATTTAACAATTTCCAGTAAACGCACGCTGGAACTAGATCACTCGCAGTTTAGTCATTTTCCTCAAAGTGGAAATTGGATAGTGGATAACGTAACAGTGTTATTGTGTGTGTGTGTGTGTGTGTGTGTGTGTACTCGCCTAGTTGTACTAATCTAGTTGTGTTTGCGGGAGTTGAGCTCTGGCTCTTTGGTCCTGCTACTCAACTGTCAATCAACTGGTGTACAGATTCCTGAGCCTACTGGGCTCTGTCATATCTACATTTGAAACTGTGTATGGAGTCAGCCTCCACCACAACACTACTTAATGCATTCCATTTGTTAACTACCCTGACACTGAAAAAATTCTTGCTAACGTCTCTGTGGCTCATCTAGGTACTAAGTTTCCACCTGTGTCCCATTGTTCGTGTCCCACCCGTGCTGAAGAGTTTGTCTTTGTCCACCCTGTCAATTTCCCTGAGAATTTTGTAGGTGGTTATCATGTCTCCCATTACTCTTGTGTTTTCCAGGGTTGTGAGGTTCAGCTCCCTTAGCCTTTCCTTGTAGCTCAATCCTCTCAGTTCCGGGGTCAGTCTGATGCCATACCTCTGAATCTTCTCTAACTTCGTCTTGTGTTTAACTAGGTATTGACTCCAGGATGGAGCTGCATACTCCAGGATTGGTCTTACATAAGTGGTATACAGGGTCCTGAGTGTGTGTGTGTGTGTGTGTGTGTGTACTCACCTAGTTGTACTCACCTAGTTGTGTTTGCGGGGGTTGAGCTCTGGCTCTTTGGTCCCGCCTCTCAACCGTCAATCAACAGGTGTACAGATTCCTGAGCCTATCGGGCTCTGTCATATCTACACTTGAAACTGTGTATGGAGTCAGGCTCCACCACATCACTTCCTAATGCATTCCATTTGTCAACCACTCTGACACTAAAAAAGTTCTTTCTAATATCTCTGTGGCTCATTTGGGCACTCAGTTTCCACCTGTGTCCCCTAGTACGTGTGCCCCTTGTGTTAAATAGACTGTCTTTATCTACCCTATCAATCCCCTTCAGAATCTTGAATGTGGTGATCATGTCCCCCCTAACTCTTCTGTCTTCCAGCGAAGTGAGGTTTAATTCCCGTAGTCTCTCCTCGTAGCTCATACCTCTCAGCTCGGGTACTAGTCTGGTGGCAAACCTTTGAACCTTTTCCAGTTTAGTCTTATCCTTGACTAGATATGGACTCCATGCTGGGGCTGCATACTCCAGGATTGGCCTGACATATGTGGTATACAAAGTTCTGAATGATTCTTTACACAAGTTTCTGAATGCCGTTCGTATGTTGGCCAGCCTTCAAGTCTTCTTGAAGCCTCAAACAGTCCTCTTCTGTTTTAATCCTTCTCATAATTTTAGCATCGTCCACAAACATTGAGAGAAATGAATCGATACCCTCCGGGAGATCATTTACATATATCAGAAACAAGATAGGACCGAGTACAGAGCCCTGTGGGACTCCACTGGTGACTTCACGCCAATCGGAGGTCTCACCCCTCACCGTAACTCTCTGCTTCCTATTGCTTAGATACTCCCTTATCCACTGGAGCACCTTACCAGCTACACCTGCCTGTCTCTCCAGCTTATGTACCAGCCTCTTATGCGGTACTGTGTCAAAGGCTTTCCGACAATCCAAGAAAATGCAGTCCGCCCAGCCCTCTCTTTCTTGCTTAATCTGTGTCACCTGATCGTAGAATTCTATCAAGCCTGTAAGGCAAGATTTACCCTCCCTGAATCCATGTTGGCGATTTGTCACGAAGTCCCTTCTCTCCAGATGTGTTACCAGGTTTTTTCTCACGATCTTCTCCATCACCTTGCATGGTATACAAGTCAAGGACACTGGCCTGTAGTTCAGTGCCTCTTGTCTGTCGCCCTTTTTGTATATTGGGACCACATTCGCCGTCTTCCATATTTCTGGTAGGTCTCCCGTCTCTAGTGACTTACTATACACGATGGAGAGTGGCAGGCAAAGTGCCTCTGCACACTCTTTCAGTACCCATGGTGAGATCCCATCTGGACCAACAGCCTTTCTAACATCCAGATCCAGCAGGTGTCTCTTGACCTCCTCTCTCGTAATTTCGAACTCGTCCAAGGCCGCCTGGTTTACCTCCCTTTCTCCTAACACAGTGACCTCACCCTGTTCTATTGTGAAGACCTCCTGGAACCTCTTGTTGAGTTCCTCACACACCTCTCTGTCATTCTCTGTATACCTGTCCTCGCCTGTTCTAAGTTTCAATACCTGTTCTTTCACTGTTGTTTTCCTTCTGATGTGACTGTGGAGTAGCTTTGGTTCGGTCTTGGCTTTGTTTGCTATATCATTTTCAAATTTTTTCTCTGCTTCTCTTCTCACCCTGACGTACTCATTCCTGGTTCTCTGGTATCTCTCTCTGCTTTCTGGTGTTCTGTTATTCCGGAAGTTCCTCCACGCCTTTTTGTTCAGTTTCTTCGCTTCCATACATGCCCTATTATACCATGGATTCTTCTGTTGCTTCTCGGATTTTTCCCTTTGGGCCGGGATGAACCTGTTTACTGCCTCCTGACACTTTTGGGTAACATAGTCCATCATACCCTGTACAGACTTGTCTCTGAGGTCTGTGTCCCAAGGTATTTCACTTAGGAAACTTCTCATCTGTTCATAATTCCCCTTTCGGTATGCCAGCCTTTTGATTCCTAGTTCTTTTTGGGGGGAGATAAGTCCTAGATCTACCAGGTACTCAAAATTCAATACACTGTGGTCACTCATTCCCAAGGGCGCTTCCATCTTAACTTCCCTTATATCCCATTCATTTAGGGTAAATATCAAATCAAGCATTGCTGGTTCATCTTCTCCTCTCATTCTTGTTGGTTCTTTGGTGTGCTGGCTTAGAAAGTTTCTTGTTGCCACGTCCAGCAGCTTAGCTCTCCATGTTTCTGGTCCTCCATGCGGGTCTCTGTTCTTCCAATCTATCTTCCCATGGTTGAAGTCTCTCATAATTAGTAGTCCAGATACATTCCTGCTAGCAACAGAAGCTGCTCTTTCTATTATGTTAATGGTGGCCATGTTGTTTCTATCATATTCCTGTCTAGGTCTTCTGTCATTTGGTGGTGGATTATATATGACTGCGACTATAATTTTTTTCCCTCCATTTGTTACAGTACCTGCTATGTAGTCACTGAAACCTTCACAGCCCTGAATATCCATCTCCTCAAAATCCCAGCCTTTGTGTGTGTGTGTGTGTGTGTGTGTGTGTGTGTGTGTGTGTGTGTGTGTGTGTGTGTGTGTGTGTGTGTGTGTGTGTGTGTGCGTGAGTGTTGTGATGACCTCAGCTGCGTTATTTCAATAATCCATACAATTGGGTA